TTTCCTAGAAATCATGGCTAAATAACTTTTTCTAGTTTCCCGTCCCTAAGTTTTGGACACAGCAGGTGCGAGGTGCAGTTTACATAGCGTGACTTGGCTAACCTCTTTCTAATACCGACGAAAACCGCGATCATGAATAATAATGAATTATTAATAATGCTAAACATTTTTAATTAAGATATGAATTTGCCGGTACTCTTTATACGATGTTGCTAAGAGTCTTACTCAATGAAATATTGGCAATGTATTTTTGGACTGAGCCTGGCCGATGCTATTGGACGGCAATAAAAGGAATCGACCATCGAATCTCTGAAGTAATTATAAACGGTACATCGGTCTGGGAAAATATCGGGGATAATAATTAATGATATAGATATATGAGGCGATCGGAAGGAGAAATATTTGTTCCTCGAATAGCTGGCCTTTAATTTTAGCACTGCATACTTAAACAAGGAGCAGAAATCGCGACCGATCGAATTTGTCAGTCAGCAGTACGGAATTATTTTTTCCGTGTATTTAAAAAAAATAAATTTTAATTTTAAAGCCTGAGGCTTTATTTCTCGGAGGAGGGAGATGAACTAATGATGATAAAATTAAATAAGACCAAGTGGGAATGGCATATGCAGTCTAAATACTAATAACTTTGTCTCTTTTATCCATTTCGAAGAAGGTTGCGGAAAATTTACCTTTTTCATGCAGAAAAAATTCTAGTAATTTCTTGGAAATATCGTATCCCTCTCCTGACAACTCAAAACTCTAAAAGCTAAAATGAAAAAATGTATCTACAATTAGATGATCGGAAGTTATCATTGGAAAAATAAATGAAGAAGAAGAAGAACATGAAAGAGAACTTTCTAATTTCCTGGTTCTGGATTATCTTTTTAAGCTACCTTTGAATTTCTGATTCTTATCTCGCAGTCAAACACTTTTTTCTGTTGAGGAAGAAATGACCAGCCGATATATTTCAAGTTAGTAAAGGCTCATTAACCCCTGAACTCCCAAGATCTTATTTTAAATTCTCCTCTCTAGCTGCTAGACATTTCCTTGTATACTGGTTACGAGAATTTGGTATTCAATCAAGATAATAACTTGTACCTGATGAGTTTGAGTATTCTCATCACCTGATTGCTGAATAATGTGTGGATGTTATAGGGAGAAGTTACTTGTTAATCACTTCTAGGAATTAAAAGGTTAATCTGGTGACAAGACAAACGAAACTATTAAAAAAAATATAGAAATGAGCTACAATAGCGATGATGAGCCAAAAAAAAAATTGAACAATCACAAAATTCATAACAACTGATGTACAAATAGACCTTTCAACTCCCAGGATCTGATCGTTTATTCTCCCCTCTAGCTGCTTCCCATTGCCGTGTAAATTAGTAACGAGAATTTGGTGCTAGATCAAGGTAAAAACTACTTGATAAGTTGAGTGTTTTGGGGATAATGTTCAGATGCGATGGGGAGAAGCAATTTTTTAATCACTTCTGGGAGTTAAAGGGGGAACGACATGGAAGCTCAATGAAACAAAATATATATATATATATATATATTTTTTTTTTTAAATATTATGAGAGGAAAAAAGGACGTAACTACATTTCCCGACAAGCCTGTTTCGTGAATCGCTTCACTCTTCAGGGGTTTAATGAAGCGATTCACGAAACAGGCTTGTCGGGAAATGTAGTTACGTCCTTTTTTCCTCTCATAATATTTATTCTGCTCTGCTTCAACGTATTGAGCACTGTTCCACGCGAAAATCGACCTGCAGACTTCCTATTTTTTTTTTTATATACTCAAAATGTATTCCAGTGCTTCCAGAATAATGCCAGTGTTGCTAAATGGGTTATTTGGAACAGAATTAACCAATCGCATTACAGCAAGGAACGTACTCAAATTTAGTCCAAAGCCAGGAAAGATGACAGATAATTTTAATGGTTTTATGGCCCGTTTCCTGTATTTGAATTTTTTTGTTTCGTGCAAATGATCTTGGTAAAAATAGTTGCATTGTAGATGCATAGAAACAACAATTAACTTTCAAGTGGCCCGCCCATGACCGTCTATAACATGAGTGTTTTTTGCATACCTCTAAATTACTTCTAAAATTTGAATTCACGCTAATGAATATCAAAGAAGAGTTACTCTTCGTAGTATTATTTCCGGCGTGGTAAAAGTACCGAAATCCTGTTAGAAATTGCATTCAATCCATAATGATATGCAAAGACTGACAACAATCTATTTCCGGTTTTAACGTGCCTCCTGAGACCTTGAACTTTACTATTCGCCGCGCAGGACCAATTAAGGCCTTTTACTTCCTTAGCTTATTATAAAAGGACACATGGCTGCACGAGTACAATTGTAGTGTCTACACTTCAAATTGAATGCTTTAGTTTGTTTTTCGCTGAAACGCGAGTTTGTGATATGTCAACTGATTATTGGTCAGTTCTGGTAACATTGGATCAGTTTGGCTTGAGTTTTGAATGGACGTATCAATCGAACGAGTTTCGTTTTATTCAGTTGTGAACCCGCGGACATTTTAAACCCCGGAAGGATATACTTGCAACGATTTACGGATTATGTACAATACACGACGTTGACGTTAGCTTCATCTAAGAACATGCCACTCGGACAAGACAATCGATTACCCAATCTACGATAGAAAGATAAGAACTGATTGTGCGTCATGCGCGCGTGTCTTTCTCGAGAAGGGTTTGGAGTAATGTATTGTATGACAAGCATTTGTCGTGGTTATTTTCATTCGAAGCGGTTCTTGACGCAATAAAGCTTATAATTCAGGCCTGAACCGATAGAATTGGGGCCTGTACCAAAGCGAGGCCGGTACATTGTTGTGATACAACGTTGACTAGGTTCTGAGTCAAGCAGTTTTCGATATTTTAATTGTTTTCACGTAAGTTGTTTTTCCCGTTCAGTTTTCCTGCGTAATGGTGATTTCAAGCATCTGTTTCCCTAAGAGGACATGAGTGCTTCAGTGGCTATAATTAAAATGTAGCAAAATTTCCGCAGACAGCCAAAAACATGCATGACTGAGGATAATCACGGATTTTCACGAAATTCAGATGTTATATTTAGCATCACCTCGGAAAAACGGTTTTCAGAAGGGTAAAACCCACAACAACGTTTTCATTAGTTTGCAACCAGTTCTGTCCTAACCTTAGCTGCGAAACCTGCCCGTACGTGTTTATCAGCACTCACCCAATATCAGTTGTTTGTATTTGAATTGCAAAAAAAAGTTACTCTCTGGGAATGATAAATATGGCGAGGTTGACGTCGCACAAATTCTTTTTTCGCACGCCGTGGCGATAAACAAAGGCAGAAAAGAGTATTCTTTGAAAGAAAACAGTCGAGGGTGACTTAAAACTGATGAAAGAACCATTGATTACAGCTGAGAATGAAATATTCTAATCGCAGTGTTTATGAATTTACCATTGGTGAATTTGCCCATGCCGAGGTTGTTTCCGGTTTTTGGTAAATCAAAGAGTCGCTAAATATTTACGCCATTTCCTGAATAAGCTTTGAATTGCTTTCGGTGTTCGACATTTTAAGATCTTCGTGAAAAGAATTGAAACAAAAAGGGTTCTTGTAGTTTTTGTTCAAGTTTCCGGTTATTTATCAAGCGAGTCGATAAAAGATGCCTTTCTCAGCGAAGCTAAGGTCGTTGACCGCGTACTAAAATGAACAAAACAAAGCTGGAACTCTTGCCATTTTACACGGTTCAAGTTTTGTTTGTCCTCCCAATCGTTCGCTTGGTTAAAAATATTCGAGGTGTTTCGGACAGTACTCATATGTGATGGGCGCGGTTCTTTCGTTTACCGCAGCTATGCACACGCGGACGTTTAGGTCCGCGGCACGCATGCCCGCTGTCAAACTCCCTGTTGGTACAGTATGTGTCATGGTCGCGTGCAGAAACAACGTTTGACCTATGCTTTGAAGAAAAGTGGGATTTTTTTAAATTCAAACGCGTCAAAAAGTCACCGTAGAGCATAAAATGAATGAAGCGTTCCTCAACAGATCGATCCAACCTCCTACACATCTTCCCAGGTTTGTGCTGAAATATTTATTTGAACAAAACAATAGTTGAGTTTCTTAGCATGACAGAAGCGAAGAGAGATGCTTCCGTCAGCAGTGACCGAGTCGTACTCCACAGAAACTTGCTTTCGTCCTCTCTCAATCGAAATGCGAATCGAGCCACAAACTTATTTGATTATCTTCTACACATAGCGTTGGCGTTTGTAGTAAATTAAATTTCAATTTCGGCGTTTCATAATGACCCGAAATAACACTGACGGTTTATTTTAAAACTCCGAGAAAATTATGCGTGGTTGTCACGTTCAAAGCAACGCCGGTTCGAAAATTGCCAAGATTGCATATATCTATTCTTAACTTTCAGTTTTACTTCAAAGATTAGATATTTAGTTCATTCAGCGAAAACAAAAGGTATAAATCTTATCAACGCAGTCTTTTATTTCTGTTTATCCAACACATTGGCCGACTGCCTGAAGTCCGTGACAAAGTTGTACAGCGCTCAATTTTGTGTCAAAATTGTTTTCGGTAACAAATTTTAAGCAACACCTATGAGAGAACAACATCTCTTTCTTGGTGGTACGTGCGAAGAGGCGGGTAAGGGAAATCACAACTAAAACAAAGTCCTTTAGATGTAGGAGGTTTTAGAATTACTTGGACGAATTGAATCGCCATTAAAAGACAGGAAGTTGAGTCACAGTTTCTTTTATCGCTTTAAAGAAAGCAGGCATTTTAACACACGTGCGTGGGGCTCACAGGTAACTACTGCAATTAACAGTTTTGATTTTGTTTGACGAGCCTCGTTAATAATTCGACGGACAATTTCCCCTGAGAGATAAAGTTTTCGTAGAAACAAGGAGGCTTGATTTAGCGCTTCAATAGTCAGGAAGGAAACGTGGGTAACTCTTTGTGTGTTTTGTCAGAACAGTTGTGCCTGGCCGCGATTGAACTTGTAAATTCACAAAACCAATAATCACAATCGTCGTCGTATTGCGGAGGCCAGTCATAAATATCGAAAAAAAAAAAATTCAATGAAACTATGAGTTGGTGGAACAAAGAGCGATGAAGTCAGTGAGGTGTCACTTCTCTTTTTTAGATCAGTGCTTTGAATAGCATGAAACAACTGTTTAATAATTGAGTTAAAGATCTCTATTTATTTTTGGCTTCGTTACAAAACTTAGATATCCTCTTTAATACACAAAATTTTCGAACTTCAATTCAAGACGCAGGCTAACTTGTTTTTTGTTAGAGTTTCTGAGTAATGGGCTCCCGGTGGCATTCTGCTGTAAAATCGGAGTAAAAAGTTCCCAACTGCTAGCGAAAGAGAAATCGTTTTCCTTTTAAAACCTGCCCGAGCAGATCTCCATCAGGGTCTTTTGAAAGGTTCTCACTCTGGGAAGCTTTACGCAACTGGAAGAAAGAGATTTTGCAAGAGTGTCAACTGTAGTTAAAAATTTAACGCAAGACATGCGTCTGACCACCAGCTAACAACAGCTTTCAAAAACGATCATGAGTTTATCAGTACAAAGAAAAGGAAGCACAGCGATAAAGAGAGAAAATTCTAGAATTGCACCTCTCGTGTGAATGCAAAAAACTTGAGAAAGAGTGAAGAAGAATTGAAAGACCCACTTTACCTGTTGCATTTTGTGTTTTCGTGATCATCAGTTCATCAAGCACCCTCGGAGAGTTCCACAATGCAGCTCTTTTTTCCCAAATCTCGATCATATGAGAAAAATAGCCATCATAGGAAGCCACTGATAACAAAACAATCACGAATAAAAGCTAACACTGAACATGGGGAGACCGAAACATCATCAGGTAAATCTGTAGGAGGTAAAAATCAGCGCGCATTTTTTATTTTGTTTAGGCTTGCATGATGAGGTGTTTTACCCTTTCGGCAAGAGACCCCGGTCACGAAATTCGTAAACCTGATCCTGCAGAGCACGAAAAGAAAGATTTGTTCATGTTTGACGAGTTTCTTCGATCAAATAGGTTTCCAAAGGAGGTACGAAACGTATTATAGTGGTACTTTAAATTGAAAGTTTCGTGGTCGTAAATTCAGATATGCTCAGAGAATTCTGGCAGGGTTGTTGTTTTAGTCATCTTGATAAGAAAAATACATCATTTTTCTTCACTGAACGCTTAGATATGTTTTAGTCATCGAGCTGAGGAAGTCTACAAACTATAGAGTAAATGTGATCGGATTCCGCAGTTGAATATACGTGTTGATATCTACGAAGTCTGTGACTGTCTCAAACTCAAGAGGGGTTCGATTGTTTACAGTATAAGTAAAATCGGGCGATAGCATGTTTATTGATACATTAGGAAGAAAAAAAGATTTCCAATTTTGGTATTGCCTCACCTTAAAAGTCAGTGCTAATCAGCGAACACAGGTGACGGTAATCAGCAATGGAAATGTTTGCTAATTAAGATTTTGCCGATCGGAGATCTAAGATCACGAGTCGATTCGCGTTTCATGGGAAGGAAAGGACTTCATCGGCTCCTTACAGAGCCGACAATAAGTTCGCCATGAACACATTGTATAGTTTTCTAACGGAACAAACAGGGCCTAAACAACGGCTGGGTTTATGTAAGAAAGTTTGACCTCCCACGGAGGAAATTGCTTCAGGCCCCGGCTTTTTGGTTTATGTTTTTAAGCCAAAAATGCACGAAAATGTAGAGACACGCGAAGGTCTTTCCACCGTCAAGTTGAAAGTTTGAGATGTCTACCATAACGAAAAACGTTCTTAGAAATTACGAGTGACTCATTTCCTTGTTAATTCAAACGGCGGCATGGGAATTTTGCCGTGCCGGTTGTGAACTGTCACAGTCATTGTGTTACCACCTCTAAACACTTAAATCAAACGCGGTTGCCTTTCTTCGATTCCTTGTTCTTTGACTGGACAGCTGGAGATTGAGAGAACCGACCGTTTGATGCGGTTTTGTGGCATTTGACCACTCTGCTTCTCGGCCTTCTGAAGCGGAAAAGCGGACAAAGGCTTAACACTATTTTAAATCACTCTCTGTGATGACGTAATCGCGCGGGCTGAGGCCAAGGTGCACGATCCATCACGTACTCGCGTGATGCGTCACAAGTGGCTGAGTCACGAGTCTTAATTCTCGATGAATATGGAATATTTTCCCCTTTCATTTCCGAAATTACAAAGAAAACTTATGAAATTGACATCTTTTTTATCATTTTCCGTGACTCTAGCCAGAATATCATTCGAATTTCGCTTGCGCCATGACCCTGACCTCGACAAGTAATTGATGACTCATTGTTATGTAATTTGAGCCCGCGCTGTTTTTGTGATAGTGAGCATGCGCAGCTTTTTGTTGCCAAATACAAAATTCCCCTAACTGCTAGAAATATCGGGAAAACCGTGTTTGCATCGTCGGCTTTGGCGTACAAAAACTTTTTTCATTCATGATTTCCGCCTCTTCTTGGTAGGTATTTGTTTACTGACCAGGACACACCAGAAGGACTCATTCCAAAAATGATAGTCCCAGTCATGGGCAAAGATCCTCGGTGGTTACTCGTCGAAGTTTGCAGGGAATTTCAGCGTGGAAAGTGTTCAAGAACAGAGGACGAATGTAGATTCGCCCATCCACCCGCTCATGTGCTTATACAGAATGGAAAAGTCACGGCGTGTTTCGACTCTCTGAAGGTATCTACGTTTTTCTCTTAAAGGGAATATTTGTGTGGAAAAATTGGAGTAGTTGTGGTGGCATTTCCGCGCTTTATGGCCATAATCTTCAAACTTTCTTTTGTTCGTAGAAATTTTCGAGAACTTGTTGCGTCGGTCACTATGAAACAAGTGTTTTGCGGGCTTTTCAACTTCCCCTAAAGTTTACGAGCTTGTTATGGGTGTGCTTTCTGAGAAGGCACGTTTGGGAATGATTTTCTACGAAAAATTTCGGAGGAGTCTGTCTCTACGATATCCTTTATTTCACAATAAGTAAGGTTATATAGGCACTAGGATTTTTTTCGCTGCGTTTGGCTTATGCAACATCAGCAGTTCAATATTTTTGAGGAAATGAGATGTGTTTCTCTTAAAACTACTTAAAACTTTGATTGTGAATCGTCTAAGTGGCTATGCCAGGGGTCTAAACGATGTTTGTGGCTCATTTGTTTAACTGGACCAATATTCGTTGCTAAACTGCGTAAAACCGGCGATGAATACCATGTTGTGGCATGTTGTGTGGGTGTCAAAATAGTTAAGAATTTGCTCTTTCGTATGTCATGAATCCAGCATTTCCCATTGCGTGTTTGGGTTTCGTTAAGGACTCGTGGACTCATCCGAGTAATTGTTGATTAAATTTTCGTGACCGATGGTCAAGTTCGTGAATCTCTTTCTTCTGTTAGACCACGTATCTCAACTGTTCAGAACAAAGCACGTCAAGTTAAAATTGATATGTCGTTCTGCTCACGAAACGGAGAACACGGGTTTCCTATTGACAAAATCAAAGCGTGCAATTTGTAAAACCTTTTTTTTTCATGTTTCGTGAGTTCCAGGTCGGAAACGCAGCAAGTGGATTCGCTTATCAACATATGGGTAGACACTTTCTTTGTTCTTTTCCTCACGATCTCACGATATTGAAAGGAAGGTTAAAATTTACCACTGCGTTCTAAACGTGTACTGAAATTTAAAGAATATTACGTAATTTGCGAGATAGTGCACGCATTTTCGTTTGCAAAAAGTTTCGTGAATTTTGTATCCTTTCTCAAAGACAAAAAAATAGCGTGCCCGGGGTGAAATTTGTTTTCTTGCAATAATCACGCGATTGTTGATTGGATCATTAGAAAGTTTGCTTTGAGTATTGTGAGCATCACTGTTTAATTTCTTGTCGCACGCGGTTTGCGTGACAGAAATTGAAATTTGCTCAGTATTGCTTCAGTCCGTGTTCTTGAGACAAAAGAAACTTGACTCTTGTTTAGAACTTCCTGTGCCATCGATTTTTGGGGTCGTTCTCTTTTGGCAAAGGGATTTCCGTGTCGGTGTAAATCCTTTCAGACCCTCTTAATCTTAATCATGATTAAAAAAAAATGATTATATATCTAATATAAATGTGGGCTATAACTCATCGGACATAAATTGCCTGATTACTGTTGAATATTGCTGCATGTTGCAGTCAATGATTTGAGCTTTCAAAGAAATATTTTGGCTAGTGCTTCCTGAAATGTGCAGCTTTTAAATTGAATTTTGATCAATTAGTTATAATTTCCTGTGTGAATTTCAGATTGTCATGTTAGAAAAAATTATTTGGTGTTTTTGAAGTGATAGAACTAGTTTTTCAGAAGTTTTGGGAGTCTTTTTGTACCTGTGTTGCTGTTTCTTTTCTAAAAACAATGATGTCAAGTTGCCAACATTGTGAAGATTTACACTAAAAATTTTTTTGTCAAATCGAGTCTTTTGTTTGGGTCGCACACAATGACTTGTCATATAATGGTTCAGTAGACATTTCTAGTTGACATGCATTTTTCAAATTCAAGTCTAAATTGAAGCTTTTGTCATGTGTAAGGAAAGTTTACTTGTCATTGAAAGGTACCATTGGAATAAACTACATTCAAGCAATTGCTCGTCATTGAAGATAAGTGGTACCAGTTCTGCTTGTGAAAATATTTGTGTTACAGGTTGGCTAAATTCTGCGCTAACGATGGGGAATGAAAATTTAAAATGATTTCCAGCACTTCTTGGTGTCAGTTCACTAATAATGAAATTATTTAATAGATGCAATGAATTTTATAATAATGTTAAATTAATGGTATTGCTCAGAAATTAGGAGACAATTTGAAAACAGTGTGTAGTGGACTATTACTTGGGAGTTAAATTGATAAGGAGATACACATTTTGTTTGAAAGAATTTTTATTTGCATGTGTTGGGGCTTGCTATTTACTCCTTGTAGTCATAAGCCCTCTTATGTTAGTCTAAGCGGGTTAGGTTGTCTTGTTGAGATTAAGCCTTGTCTGTCTGGTCTTAATGTTAGCATGGGTAACAAATCTCTTTCTCTGAGGCACCCAGCTTGACTGGAGTAAAAGACAGGTTGTCATATTTTCACCTGTAGGTGGTAAATCTCAATAGTTAGACTAATTCAAATTTGTCCCATTAATTCTTGGGAAAAACAACTACCAAAAAAAAAAAGAGACTCACTCTTGACATCAGAGCACATTTTTAAATTAGGCAGTTTATAAGTGTTGAAGTTTTTTATTTTTGTTGCTCAGGCCTCATTTGAAGGAGGATATCTTTCAACTCTTTTAAACTTTTTGCAGTTTGTAGTCTTGAGGTTAGCAGTAATTGACTTACAAGATCAGGCTTGCTAAAAAAAACTGTCAAGTGTCTTTAAGAGAGATATGATAAGCTTCTTTAGAGCCACCCATATTAATCTGACTATATCGCATGTATTAACTAAGAGGCACTGTTATACATCGGTGAAAGTTCCAAGGTTAAAAGCAAATCTTTTTAATGATCAATTGTGATTAAAGGACAATTACTCTTTTCAACCTTCACACTAAACAAAAGGGTATTGATTGAGTAGCATTGACTTAAATTTCCCATGATTTTTTTAGTTCACACAGACTCACAGACTCCATGTCTAGACAACATTTATATGAGATTCATTTCTTTCAGTTTGTAAAGGTTAACCCTTTATTTTGTGTAGTAATGGGATTAGAACCCCCTGCCTAAGGTGGTAATCTCAAAGCCTTTCTTTGGTTTCAAAACATTTCATTTGTGACTATCCATTGATTTAACTGTTGGCCAGAAGTAGTGTCATGGAAAATTTAGGGCATGGAGATTGATAACTAACACATGCATGTGCTGGTTATTCTAAAATATGAGCTAAAGTTATCGCAAAAATAAAGTTTAAAAGGAACAGGAAACTAGTCATTAACACACAAGAGCTATGCATTATGAGTCTAAAGACACTCAAACCAACCAATGATTTTGCAAGAATTTTGTGCTTTGCACCTTGTGTTTTGACATTTAATATTTATTATTGTTTCAGGCTCGTTGCCACAGGGAAAAGTGTAAGTATTTACATCCCCCAAAGCATATAAAAGCTCAAATGGAGAACAATGGCCGCCTTCTACAACAGCAGCAGCAGCAACAACAGCAGATAGCTATTCAGCAGCAAGCCTTTGCACCACTTGCTCAACAGATGCTGACAAATCCCTCATTTGTAAGACACTTTTTAGCTAAATAAAGTTATTGCACTAAATGCAAACTTAAGTTCTTGAACTGAGGCAAAAAGTTTTGAAAATAGTGTACCATTTTTAAGACACAATGTATAACAAAAAAGTGTTTAGGAATTCTTACAGAATTGTTGAATGAGAGAAAACCAGCCCTTTGTCTAGGAAGGAAAATGAGAAATAACAGTTATTATTTTAATGTGTTCTTTGAAAAGACCATGTAAAAGTCAGTGGAAAAATATGCTGTCCAGTTCAGTATTGTAGTATTTTTTCCTTGCAAGTGGTGTGGAAAATTCCTACATCATGGTCTGTTTTCAGGTTTCTGATAATTGTGTCTTGAATTCTTGCTTCATTGTTACCCAAGTGAATAGGGGTAATTTTTAATAAGACATTCAAACCCAATTCCTTTCAGATATCTGCATGGCCATTAAGTGTTCCTGCTTCAAATGGAACATATCTTCAACATCCTGTTGCTTTTCTGCCTGATGCATCAGCCTTGGCTCAGAGTCCTTCCAGACGACTAGACAAGTCTGACAAATTGGAGGTCAGAGACCTTAAGTCTTTTAAATATTGTATATTAGCGTAGGTTAATATATAAAAACAACTATCAAGTGATCTCTTAAGTTGTTGCAAATTGTTTTAATGCAGGAGAAACCATTGATCATCAAGTCTAATATCCTCATTGTGAAGGTTGCCCTGTAAAGGTCTGTTCTGGGCAACAGTGACTGATGTTCTGAAAGCTTAAGGGGAATTAATCAGGAGTAAAGTTTGGAGTTACAGTAGTCAAAGTCTTACAACTAAAACCATTTCAGCAAAACTGAGTTTTCTTCAGTTTTTGTGAACAAGACTTCTAACCAGCAACTGACTTTCATCCTCTCACTTCACTTTGATGGCAACTTCTGCTCAGTTGTCAAAACATTAAATACTATCACTAACAACAGACCCTATCAAACCTGCCCAGACTGTACCACATGATCAGACAGCATAATCACATTTTCACATAGAAAAAAAACTGTACTTTATGGTTTACATGGATGTGATAAATTGGACCTTATCTGGCCAAAGACTACTTAAGAACTCCCTGTGATACTAATGTAAAAAAATAAATAAATAAAGAAATAAAATTGAAATACTGAGGGAATTGGAGGAAAAAGAAGATTTAAATGGATTGATAACAAAATGGAAAAGCATAACTTCTCAATCTTTAGAAAGCCACCACTTTTCACTTTCATAGCATGATTTTTTAAATGGAATTGTATCTGCTTTTCAAGGTGTGTCGAGAATATCAGAGAGGGTCATGTTCAAGAGAAGAATGCAGATATGCACATCCTCCTCCGCATGTGTCTATTGATAGTACAGATGGTATGATTACAGTTTGTATGGACTTCATGAAGGGAAGATGTCAAAGGGAAATGTGCCGATACTTTCACCCACCAGCACATCTTCAGGGAAGAGTCAGAGCTGCACAGCAGCAGTCAATACCGGTGAGTAGTGTGTTCTTCATTTTTAACAAAGAAATGAGTGTCAGTGTCAGTGGAAGGTAAGAACCTTGCACCTGGTGACTGGTTCCAAGTACTTGTTTTTGACTTGATTAACACATAATTTGGTTAAGTTGATCATTGGGCCAAAATCCTTGGTGTTCAGTTTTATCAATCTATCTCACCATCCAAAGATTATCCCAGCCTCTGGGAATGGAACATGGTTACTATTACAACATCACTGATCCCTATGTGCTTGTATGAAACACATTCCTTATAATGCAAAACAAGGCCATGCACCCATGCAAATTAATCTCCTACACAATATCATGTAAGCCAATGATTTAACTTTAGTAACTGGCCCTCATCATCAGATGAAGTGAATAATAAGGAACATTTATTGAGTGCATACCATGTTCCTTACAATCTATTTCAGGACCAAGGGAAGTGTTATCATATTATTTAAAAGCACTTATTTGTGCCTTTTGAAAAATAAATCCCAAAATAATTTGGTGCCTTAAATTGCAACTAGACTTAAAATATTCTTGTTAGTTAAATGAACAGTTTAAAGTATAATTTATTATACTGAATAATTTGTTCAAAGTTTTTTACATGGCTCAGCACCTGGAAAAATAAGCCTAAGCACAAGTGTCAATTCTACAGCAGAAACCTAGCCTTGCTTAATGCTAATAAAAGCCACTTTAAGTTAAGATAACAATCAAGCAGCTTGCATGCGATGCACATTAAGAGGATGGTGGAGTATGTAGCACCCTGTTTATCTGGTCACCGATTTAAAACTTCATTATTACAAAGAAGTGGTTCTATAGTATGACAGTATGTAGAATAGCTACTTGTATACAACGCAGAATGCATTACAAGTGCAGTATTTGACTTGCATGCTTGCTGACACAATCACTGAGATGTAGGTTTAGTTATATACATTATAGATTACACAAACTATACTCACCAAGTCAGTGATTAACATCTCACAGCCTAAATCAGCAACCGTAAGGCTAGCCAAGGCAAGGGACCAAGTGTTCTTTTTTCTAATTGTTATTATTCTTAAACGCAAAAGGTAAAAGAGAGCAAAAACATCTTGGACACATGGAACCACACAACAATATTTTTGAGTCATGTTTTATTACGTGTTCCACTTGAAGAACACAAAGGAGACATTAGGAAAATGCAAAAAGGGCAATGATAGACCAAGAAAGGACAAGTGATGCTTAGGTTGCACTAGATTCAAATCAATTTGTGATTATTTGAAAAAGTTTGGCAAAAGTTTCCAAGATGTACAAATTGTGACAGCATTTTTAAAGTGTTAGTTCTAATTGCTAGCCTTGGGTTGCTGTGCAGTAACTGTCACCATGCATGCTTGAGGCTTATGAAGTTTAGCAGCAATTTGCATAAATCATGACTTGCACTTTGCTTGTCTCTTTTCATGTGCCGTTGCTGAAATTGCTTACATCATGCTGCTGGCTGGCTGGCATTCCTTTTGTGCTTGCACACCGCCTTCTGCTGACTTAGCTGGAGGGTAGCCGCAAGAGGCCCCATGATACATTGACTGAACTGGTACTTGATAGCCTTTTGCTTTTGTGGGTCTAAATAGCCAGAAAGCTGTAGCTACTAGATTAAGATTTAAGCAACTTGAGTGACATCAATGGAGTTGCAAATTTTTTTTGTCACTGTTAGTTTCCAACCCCTTTTTGCCTGCACCACACCTCAGGCTTTCCCTACTTGGGGAGTACAGTCTGGGGGACTGAAGCAGGCCTTCACTGTGTGCTGAAATTGGATGCAAAGCTATTTGTCTCAATTTCCATTTATTGTCTAGTATGAATTAGTATCTTCATGACCCAAACAATGTTTGAAAACAATTTTCTTTTGTTCCTGAACTGGCCCAATCAGATAGACCTCTGCCATAAGTGCTCATAGCTTAAAGGTTGGACCTCTTATTGACTAGAAGGATTTAGGGGTTAATTATAAGTCCTTGGACTGAGCTGTAAATATTCTACCTGGACATTTTGTTACCAATAATGGTCATCATGGTAAGGAAATATGAATACTAAAAGTCTTTGGAGTGTTCCTGGAAGACACAGTGTCTGTTGTGATGGTTAATACCAGATGGATGTGTTACTCAGTGACCTAATCACAACCTTTCTTTAGTTGATGTGGAAAAACTGCATTCTTGAGACAGACTATGCCCTTTGAGGTGTCTCCTCCTGTTCATCCAGGAGTTTATAAGCACTGTCTGACATGAGGTAGCTTTTATGGTCAACTTCATAGGGTGACCTTTGAGGGAGTAACAATATAAATACTGCACTGGGACCATAGGTTTACTCTGGTACATCAGGTCATAGAGAAGCAAGGATAAACAATTCTCTCTGCAAGTCACTTACTGTATGTCAATTACAGGCATTGTCATAAGGCTATTATAATAATGTCTCTGTGCAAAAGAAGTATCTGTGTTAACAGCGTTAAAAAATCCATAACTTTTGGGCTGGGGCATGTTGAAGATCAAAGAACTAACTTTGCAGTTGTTTGTTCACAGACTTTTGGAGAACCATTCAAGAAACAAACTGCTCTTGAAGTGCCTCTGGTCATGCCAGGAGCGGCGGCTGCTATTCCATCCTTTAATCAACCTGTAGGACTGCAATTTGCATCTCTTATACCAACAAGTAGGTGAAAATTTTTGTTTTAGGTATTAATTTTAGTTAGGAGGTAGTGTGGCCCTGTGAAAAGAGTGTTCAAGCCCCTCACTCTGCCACTCCCTGGATTTGTTCTCAGTTATGCCAAGTTCAACTCCTTGCTTGCTCCTTGTATGTAACCAACTGGTCTGCGTTCAGTCAATTGTGATTTTTAAACACTATGTTTATTCATTCATTTATTCATTTATTTGTGGTGGCCCTGATTAAGCAGTGGTCCATTAAGTTTTCATACATACAACATACTTACATTCACACATTAATACACCTAGGTTACATACATTCACATATACATGTGGAAAGAGGACAGTGGACAAGAGGAGCCACCCCAAGGAATATCCACTGCTAAATCTCATTTATGTTCTTGTTTTTTAATCATGTTTGTGTTTCCACTTCAAAAAGTGGTTGTCTAAAGCTAAATTGACATGTATTGAAGATGTTATGTGACCATCTTTCAGTGCCGTTACTTACACAAGGAATTCCCTTGGTTCAACCACAAGTACCTCAGGTAAATATGCTATGCAATTCTCTAAACATTATTCTATAGTGATTATTTATAGAGCTCTATGAGAACAAAATGCTGACAGAAAAAAACTGATTGAAAAATGTGCAGTTTGTACGCCTGTTATTTAAATGAAAGGGGGCATTTGAAATCAGCCAGAGAAGGAATTTCCCCCTAAAATTCCCTTACTAATTTGGTGGCAATATGGTTGTATGTTTGCATGACAATATCTATATACTCTAATGGTGTAGATGCAGTTTTAAAGTTACCAAGGTTTGGGCCAGTTGGCTCATGAAACTTGAACAGTTTCTTTAGAAACTACTCGAACTTCCTTGTTTGCCAGGACTCTAGGGCTAGCGAGTCATGCTAACACTGGTGTTTCGTTTCATGTTCCTTGTTCAATAGTGGCAACAACAGGTACAGCCACAGGTCTTAGGCTATATGCCTGTGGAGTCAGCCGCGACACCACCACCTCCTCTAGCTCCTCCTCCTACTCCTCAAACATCCTACCAAATCATAGACCCTCAGCCTGTCCAGTCAATGGACGTCCAGTACTGGAACAACTACACGTTAGCTTCCGCTCCCACCACACCCACCTTTGTTATGTCGCCCCATGCTATGTGATCCAGGGGCGATTCTTTTTATATGTACTAGGGGTGTGTGTGTGTGTGATTGATTGTTCCGGGAGAGGGCAAGAATGGAGGGATAGAACAGGAATTTAAGGAATGAGAGATTGAGACATTAGAGGTTGTAAGCTGTGGCTTTGTTCAAAGCAAGAAACAAAGCTGGCTGCCATCTCGGAGATTTGCATGTTCAAGATGCAAGGCAATATTGAAAGACCATTCCATTCAGTCTTCAAGAAGACAAACTTTATTCAGAGGAGGAGATCAAGATTACTATTACGTTCTTTTCTAAAAAAAATGGCCACTGGAGGAAAAAATTGGAATGAAACTTCAGAACTGTCACAGTACTATTATTGATTGATTAATATATGACAACAGTGTGTGTTATCATCAGCTACAATTGTATCTCAAAATTGTTTAGGTCTTGGACCAGAAACAGAGATAAAAAATTGAATATAGCAAGCAATGTTCTACTTAGGTTTTCTTAATTCTAGTTTAAAAACAGTGACAGAAAGTTAGTTATGACCACTTAGTTATCGGTTGCATGTGAAAAACTAGCATGAAAAGAAAGAGGAAATATTTTATAAAATTAAGATTGAGTTGCAGCTTCCCAAAGCTCTGTTAGTGTTTTGTGCCTGGTTTGAGAGAAGAATAGATTGTTGCTTAACACTTACAGCGCTTTTGGTCCCTGCGGAGAGTAAAACTTTTATTCTTTATTTGTTACAAGAGAGAAAATGTTATCTGTTACATTCATTGATTTATTTTGTACATTCTAGAGAAGTCAATCGGGGTTTTACTCATTCACATATTTGTATGTGTAATAATTTTATTTGGGATTGTTATTTACTACCTACTCTTACTATTTAAGTTGAGAAATTGTTTTGTACGTACTTAAGAAAGATAGACTATATAAATGTATTTTGTAAAATACCAGCTCCTGGAATGCAGCAGATCAAGATGAAGAATGACGATATTTGTACTTTAAACTACCTTAATTCACGTGAGAAGTCACATTTTTTTGACTGACAGAATAAACTTTAAGTACGTAAAGATATTATTGAACAATACAAAGTAAATCCATGTAGCTGATGACTCTAAGAGAGATGAAGATTTACTACCATCTGAAATTTTGTGATGAACGAGAGAAAATAAACTTTAACAGGAATTAAGACAGCATTTCTATGAACCATTTTATTAACTTATGTTGCAATGGATGTGAAACAGATATTGATTTGATTTTTGTGAAATGAATGAACTGGTGGCTGAGCCATTGTGATAAAGATGAATTTAGATTATTAGAGTTGTTTTATCAAATATAATTTTTCATAATGGAAAGTTTATTGCAAGACGAGTGAGAGAAAAGACAACATCAAATGTTTAAACTCAAACATTTTGAACTGTTTTGGTCAGATTCTCACGTGAAAGTCTTGCAGCAAAAGTTTCATTTTCATAGATCAAAATTACTTTTTGTAGGAAAATTGTTATTTATGTGTTTATATGTGATTGTAGAGTTGAACTGAATCATATGTTGAATTAAAGTTTGTCTATGTTGTCTGTTGGTGTTAATTATGTGTAAATATCATGCTTAAATGTCCATTTTACTATGAGATTTGTGTCCCTGGCAAGTGCAACATTCTACTCATGTTTGAAAAAGTTATCTTACATTGTAAGCAAATTGGACTTTGATTCCATTTTTAGGACATTGAATTTGGCAATAAGTGTTTCTGCTGACCTTCCCTTGTTAACATTTTACAAATGTGCGATGGAAAAAGGAAGAAAATTAAATTTACATTGTAGGCATGATAAGTATGTTGCACTCCTTATGATATTATTTAATGTGTTCAATTAATTCTAGAGGTGATGTGTCTCCTAACCTTCCTGTTGCAGGAATTAGGTAACCCCTGTTAAGGCTGCAGCATGCAAGCTTGTTGCAAAATTCCTGCCGCTTCCTTGCCCTGGCTGGTTTTCCCTAATGCTTGCCAAACTTCTCTCTCTAAGCACTTCAGCAGCCGTGTTGTGTTTTCCAATTGACTTACCCATCCACTTTTCATCAGTTATGAATTTGTGTTAGTTAATAAGAAGTATATCTTTTATATAACTTAACACATTTTTTTTCTTTTTCACTACTGGCACATTTTTACTCCTGACTAACTGACACCTATCAATCAATCAATCAATCTGAGACCCTTTCTTTTTCCCTTGACAGCACTCCAATGGGTTGCCAGTTTGTCGGGACTATAACTCTGGCCAGTGTCACAGAGAAGCCTGCCGCTATGCCCACGTTAAAGACAGTGAGCTCTCTTTCTTGTGTTAACGCTTAGCTGGTTAGCCCTTTCAGCCCTAGTAATAATATTCAAATTCTCAATGGTAAAGAAAGAGAGAAATTAAAAATGTCTCTTTTTTTCACTTTGGTATTTATTTAAACTAAGTTTTGTCAAATTCCCTCAACCAAGACGTGAGAATGAAATATTGAACTGTGTGCAGAAGGGGCTAAACTGTGCTTAAGAATTCTTGCCTGGCAGGCTCCCACACTATGCTGGCCTGTGCTTTTCAGAAAAAAAAAAAAGAATAGATTAATTTAGTACCTTTATGTCACTTTTTCTGGTGAGGCAGCTGCATTGAGGCAATGTTCGGTGAGCTAGCTGGTCTTTAGACTGAAAATTCAAGGCATGACACTGAACTTTTAGAGTGTCTCCCTCCAGTAAGACAGGGTTTTCAATTAAAGCTGGTTACTGGCAGTCTGCTGCTGTCTATAAGACTACATACCATCGTCTGTTTGGTATGCAAGTGGGCTCTCATGTTTGGGGTTTCACCTAGTGTGTTCAGTGGGAAACATGATTGACCAATGAATAGTACTTTTGGTTTTCTATTGATCCCTTACACCCTAACATCAGAAGGCATAATCTCCATACTGCTCTCCATACATTTCCAAAGGTGATGACAGAGAGAATTTGCTTAACAATCAAGAGCTTTCCTAGTTGGTGATCATTTCCTTTATTCTTGAGACCTTAATATGTGATTCAAGGGTGAGATTGTAAGGAGAAACTAGATGCCAGTCACTCTCAGGTGTCAAAGGGTTGATATTCTTGGGGTTTTAGCTCTGGTTGGGCTTATCATGTTGTGTTGTGACTCTTTTGTCTCTAATGAGGAGTTTAACTCAACTTGTAAAATGTCAGTCCCCCCGGGGTTTAAATTAATTATTTTACAAATTCCTTCCCCCCATCTTGGCAAAAAAATTACATGTTAAAAATACATGCAACTACATCCTTGAACAGATATCAGCTCACTTTTTTCCTTTTAAATCAAGATGAAGTAAATTCAATTTTTCATTGTGGTATATGTCCAAAGTTACTTTCATCTATGAGATCAAATAAGCTTTAACCCTTTAACTCCCCTAAGTGACCAAGACAGAATTTCTCCTTACAATATCAATACAATATCAACCACATAAGTGACAAGAATAAAGAAAAATTTCAATTCAGGGATGATTAGTTGATCCAATACTAAATTCTCTGAACTAACATTATACGAATCATATGGTTGACAGTAAGGAGAATTACAAATTTGATGTGGGAGTTAAAGGGTTATGGGAGGAGGCAGGAGACTAACTATTCTCTACTGTTGTGAGATTCAAAAATGACCCAGTAAGGAATGGTATTCTTTGTGTTACAGGTAACCTAATTTTTTTCTCAATGGTCTGTGACCCAGGTTCACAAAATGAAGTCATAGGGACTGGGGAAGTGATTTTGATTCATCATCATCATCTTTTCATTCATTTGATTTTAAGAACCAAAAAAAAAAAAAAAGACTTCCCTAAAGCCCCAAGCTCAAATGGAAGAAAGAGTACACTTTCTTTCCAGGTTGTGAGGAACCATGTCTTCATTTGCCAATGTAAAAATGATGAAATTGTATGCCACTGATTGTTGTTTTCCAAATTCCCTGCTTTACCTCATCTCTCAAAATCTTGACCATCTTGGAATTTCCAGTACTTTTCCTTTTGTTCACTCTGTTACCATGCCTTATGATAATAGGCCTGCATTTGAGCTAAGTTGCTTCACCAACATAGTTTATATGCTTTCTATAGCATCAACCAATTAGGTGTGCTACTTCTCCCACCCTCCCTCCCTTCTAGCACCTCTCCCTCTCCTTCTAGAGTTTTTTTGGTTTCCCTGACTTTAGTATAACCTTTGAAGGTCATGTGAAGATGATCAATCCTTTGACACCAAAAGTGACTATAGCATCCAATTTCTCCTTACAATATCACCCCTGAATCACACATCAAGGTCATAAGGGAATGATCACTTACAATAGAAGCTCTTGATTGTTAAACAAATTCTTCATGTCAGCACTTTAGAAAATGTTTGGAGATTAGTTACTGATGTTAGGGTGTGAAGGGTTAAGACTCAGTCTTTAGGGGTCTGGGTCAGCTTTGACCCAGACCCCTAATCCATAACTGTGGGTTAACCATGATCACTAACTAAGGTATTCTATCTGGCCTTTGTAAATTGATAATTTAAGTAGTGTCAGGGTTTAGACATCTGCCAGTATTGTTCTTGGCAAAGGGTCTTTTCCTACACAAAATAACAATAAAAAGCATCAAAATATATTTTTGCCATCATGCCATAATTTATGTTAAATATATAACCATGTTAAAACAATTGGAAACTTGCACTAAAACTGATAACTTATGTCAGTGTTTGGTTTCATGAAGAGACTCCCATATTTAATATGTTGGCATGTGATTGCAAATATAAACAAGGAGTGAAGTAAATTGGGATTATGAAAACATTGGATTTCCAGTTATTTGTACCACAGTTGACATCCTTCCTTCTCACTTCTATTTTTTTGTGTCCTTGACAGAAAATGTAGAAGTTGTGGATGGCAAGGTGACTGTGTGCCGTGATGCAGTGAAAGGAAAATGTTCAAGACCCAACTGCAAATATTACCACCCAGAGGTTGGTTCCTCAGGCACTGCCTCATCAACAAAGTCATTGAGATAGGGCCAGCTTGATAAGTACCTCCAGTCCAAGGATGTTAGGATGGAGGTGAAAGTTGGATGAGAGCTATTTTATTTTTGGTAACAGAAGAATGTCTCTATGGTTATTACCAAAAATTCTGAAATTCAGGGAGGGGGGTCTCCCCATAAGTAAACTTTTGATTCACTTTTACGCGCCATTGCTAAGCATGCATTGCACAAAATTTCATGTCTTAGATTCCAGGTTTGCATAGAATGCTGTGCCTGTAAAAATGCAAGAGTAACGACTTAAGTGCTTAACAAAACATGATAATGCTGAAAGCATACACTATAAGGCCAAAAATAGTAGAGGGAGGGGAAAAATTGCATAATGTAATGGTTGCTAGAGCTAGCAGTGTTTGGCACTTTGGGTGTTAGAGATGTTTGTCTCTTGCAAAGCAGTCAGAGTGACCTTGCAGTGTGAGCATGCAGCCTTCAAGCTACTGCAAAGAGCAATCATGGTAAAATGAGACTGAATGGTTTCATGCCTTATGAAAGAAGGAAAAAAACTTCTGTTTTCTGGGAAACCTGAGTAGTAGGGGTTACCTGTGCAGGTGGGTGAACAGCACGGTTAGGTTACTGTGGTGGAGCTGGGAACCTTAGCAGGTTACCTTAGCAGCCAGAGCCACCTGTGCCACTGGGATCCCAATAATGGAAAGATATCAATGTAATAGTCCATTTTACAGTTGTGTACTTGGTTGCCAAGCCTTGCAACAGGAGTGTGGCTGAGGGTGACCTTGTTATGATACAAACGTTACTGCTTTTCAAATCTAAATTACCTTGTTATCAGGCAAACTAGACACTGGTCTCTATCACAGCAAGGTAAACTTCAGCCTCACTCCAAATCAAAGGCTTGGTAACTAAGAACACAACTGTAAAACGACCTACTGTGAATTACTTGACTGTGCAGTTTGTTGTTAACTAATGGGCAAATAGGCCAAATAATGGCTACGTTTATGATCAGCAACTTGTCACTTTGAATATGACATTGAAACTTGAAGAGAATTAGTTTTGCTTTAAAGCTTACAACAAAACTGGCAATATGGTTGAGGATGACAGGTTGTTAGTAACTTTGTTCCTTGCCCAAATGCTCATGATAATGCACTATAAGCTAGTAAATGCAATCACCTCTGTGATTATATGTGTTTTTGCTTGCATGCAGATATTTCCTATTTCCTTCTCTGATTGAATTTGTAAAGGAAATAGGAAATATTTGGGTGTTGGCCATTAATGTGTGCTTGGTATTCATTTTTGCATTTACTCTTCAAGAAAGACCTTCAGAACTCAAGAAAACTGGCAATTCCCACAATTTCACACTGTATCATAAAAAGCTCATTCTGTGAGTATGAAGATCTAGCAAAGTCATAAAATTCACAAGCCCAACTTTTGTAATCATTTTCATGATCAGAAGGCATAGAAATTTATCATTCTTACATTTACCAACACTGATATTTTTCTGACCTTGATTTTTTATTCCATCAGTGCAAACTTAACGATGACAGTTAGCATTTTTATTCATGCTATTTGCATGCAATGCAAATTGCACAAATTAGATCGAATCGCACTTTCGTGTATTTTTTTTTGAAATGATAAAATTTTCATTGTAGAATTATCATTGTTTTATGATCATACACAATTGTATTTAAGTGCCATAATGGACAAAAAACGCTCCAATGAAAGAATATAGAATGAAAGAAACTATCAGACAAGTTTAAAGAGTACTTTTTTACTATGGAAAGAGGAACAGAAACTGGTTTTCTGATTTTTTTAAAAAACAAATGTTATCTTCTGAATGGAAAGGTCTATAAATACAAACAAAAGAGAGTTTTCCAGGAAGCTGCTTTAGAACTGAAAAGTTGGTATCAATATATCATGATTCCACTCACGGCTATTTGATAAAAAGTTGTCCTTGAAAGAACTTGACATTATTACAGAACTGATTGCACTGGACAAGGTTAGATTAAAATTACATTATAGAGAGTTCTTTTGTAAAATAATCTAAGTAGTTTTAAGTTATCTTTCACCAAGTGAAATTGGAAAGTTTATTCACATGTGTGTCAACCCTGAAAATTCTCTAAATTCAACTTGGAGAATAATTCCTTTTGGCACAATTTAAGCCAAACAAGGTATACTTTTCGCTCCGTTTTGAGCCTTGGATTCATCTTTACCAAACTAGAACCAGGAAGCAATGTTTTCTGTGAATGTGATCAACTCTTTTCAACACCAGGATGTACAATCATTACATTATTTTCAGTAAGACTCCTTGTTCATTGTTCATATTCCTGGTAAAGTTTGTACCATAGAAGTGACTTCAGCCCAGCTGTTTTTTTTTTTCTGTTGTTTATTTCTGTCTTCTGCATAATGATTACTTGTAAGCATGCATGAAAGCCACTAAGTGAGAAATAAGCATCTTCAGCTTAATCCATCAACCCCAAAAGTCTGGCAAATATTTCATCCTTCTTGCTGCCACACATTTTGTTGTAAATTTTTATGACAACTTGGTTCTATATATTAGTAAACAGTAGCACCCTTGAGCTGATAAGTTTGTCAATTCTCACAACCTGCCAGCTGGATATTGTCCAAAGATGGTGTTTGGAGAAGTTTCATGTTAAATGCTTCTTCAGTTGTATGAATGTTACTCAGTGACACAAATCTGATCAACAAATTGCTTCTCCTGGCAGAATCAAACAGAGAGATAATGGAAATTTAGACTTAAATCAACCAAAGGATATTTGCTTGACATCAGAACTTAATAACAAAGTTCAGAAATGTATGATATTTAAGAGGGAAAATTTGACCAGCATTCAGATCAATTATAGTGAAAAGGTTCATGTTTGAACTCCCAGGAGTGATCTACATGTATCTTCTCCCCATGATGTCCATATCTCATCTCAGTGATGAGAATACTAACATATTCAAACTTCTCGGGTAGAAGTTGTTATTTTGATCTAAAACCAAATTCTTTCAACTATTTACAAGGAAATGTGTAGCAGCAAGAGGGGAGAATTCAGATCTTGGGAGTTGAAGGGTTCAGTGGCAGATCCTTTTGAATTTGAAAGGGTGATATAATTGCAAATATTATCCTAAAGGCTAGGAAAACATTTAAGAAGAGGGGAAGGTGAAGAGAATTTATTTTTGTATTCATGTGCTAATATAGAGTATAGCAGCAAAGCTTCTAAGCATGCAGTGTCCGATATTGCTGGCAATAGTTTAATGCTTTAATTAATCCTTTTTAATGTTAAATATTATTAAACTATTACTGTATCATCATAATCATTATTGTAAAGTGTATTCATGATATAAAGAGTCCCAAAGGTGTAAAGTACAGTGCATGCCAAAAATTTAAGAAGATTAAAGTAACATATTAATATTTTATGATATTTATTTAAAGTTCAAATTTTGTTCCACAATTTGATAATTTTATTGGTGTAGAGTTGGTAAGGAAATATGATTTGGGCACTATGAATATATCGAGTAAGGTTAACGTGGTCCCACTTTAAAGGTTAAAAGAAAAAAAATTTAAGATTAGAAGATGTTAAAATATTTTAGAGAGTTTTAGAAAAGATGATTTCCTTATTATAATCTCATGGTTGAGGAGCAACTGGCTTGCAGGGAATATGGCACACCTCAAACTCTCTTCTTTTTCAGGGGCTGGCTATCTCATTTTCCAATTGTTGTAATCTCTGTAGATTCCCTCTGCTATCAGAAACCTCAATTTCCATTTGTTATTTGTCAGCCTTCATAGAATCTCCTGTCCCTTATGTGCAATCAATGTTAATATAAAAAGTGCAAGGATATTGCCTTTTTTTCTTTGAAAAGTTGTCCCACCAATTTGTCTTCTTTGCAAGTGTTGTTTAAATCAACCTGGGAAGATCAGTAATGGTATATTAAAAGATTAAGCATTATTGGGTCTTACTTGATAATTATCAGATCAAGAGCAGGTTGTTTGGCTGTGCAATAACAGTCTATTTACAAGGGGTGCAAATGGTAACTTCTGAGGCTTGTGAGATGATGTGACCCCTGTTTTAAACATGTGAAACACAGACAAGACAATTTTGGCTGAAAAACTTCTTACTTTTATTGAGTAAAAAGTTCAAGAGACCTACATTTTTTTTAAGGTACCATTTGCTACCCCTTGTGAATTTGCTGGTTTATACCTAAGAGAACCTGCTTATGAGCAAAGGATTGGGGTGCTCTTTAATCTCAGCCCTTCAAGATAGAAAATTCTATTAAAGTGAATGATTACTGTTGAGCTTTAGTCACAAGTTTGTAAAATTATGGTTAATTATTGTTTCTTTTAAAAGGCAGCACCGGATTTTACAGGCTTCATTTCATCCTTATTTATATTTTAAGGTAATTATACATGCCCTGGAGGCTGTATACCACTCATGTTGTGTTTCTTGGGACAAATAAAATCTTTTTCATCATCTTGAGATCTTGTCTGGGTCAACAAATGTACTGCATTGTGTAATGAACTGTAATACCTATGCTACTGACATTACTTCCTCATGCTATGGAAACTGAGCTCAAGCTAGATAGGCCACTTGGCTTGGTGATTCAGAGTCCTGAATGTAAATGACAGTAGTCTCCTTAGCATCTAACACAGAAGTTCTTTTGTTCTTTTGGGGTTTGTCACACAATCATTCCTGCCCATGTGAAGAGGAATGACTGTGATAATTCTCAACATCTCTAAAGGAGACTAGGTCTCGGAAGCACATAACCCTGCAAAAATTTTCCTTTCACTTTCTACACTATTTCCCCAGAAAAATTATATATATTTTTGTGTTGCCACTTTAACTGTTAAGCTTTGTGGCTTTGTAAGCTTTTTTTATTTTGATTTTATGGTATAAAAATAAGGCTAGTATGGAAAAATCAACCAAAAAAAAACTATTTTGACAATGATGTGTGGCTTGACTAGAAGTATTTTATTGCTCAACCTTTGAACAGTTTGTATAAGTGTGTGAGAAAAATTGTATGCATGTACTATGACTACCAGTAGTTATTTTTAAACTTTTCCTTTTCTGCACCACCTACATGAAAAGATAGCCAAAGAAAATGCCATTTTTCCTTTACAACCAGTTATTTATTTGACAACTCATACAATACCTGCAAAGTTGCAGTTCTCTGACTTCATATTATGACATCATTTAAGGTAATATGTTGCAAAAACCTCTAATTAAAGATTAAAACACTTTCTGAACTATCTCCAACATACTTGGTCCAGTGACTTCTACATTTATAAAACGTAACAGATAAGTACTTAAAACTTTAAAATATCACTAGCCTTGCTTTGGGCTTGTGATTTCAATGCACTCACAAAAACCTAGTTCACATACACAATAGAAACCAATCTGAGGGCAGCAATGAAAATGTAGATTGCAGCCTTTGCCGATCCAGCTTATCATTGCCTGGTACAAAGGACATGTGAAAATTGTTGAACAGGGATGTTTGTGTGGCGACAATGCCTGTTCACTGAAAAGTTCAAACAGTTGGTTTTACATTTTTTGTGTGGTTAACCCTTATGCTTAACACCATAACATCAGTATGCAGAAGAGTCAACACTGTTCCTCATACATTTCTCATGATGCCAATAAGAAGAATTTATTTAACAGTCAAGAGATTTATCAAACCTTTAACCCCAGAAGTGGTTAACATGAAACTTCTACCTATAATATCCATACATTTTTCAGCAGACAGGTAATGAGAATACTCAAACTTATTAGGTAGAAGCTGCTATCTTGACCTAGCACCAAGTTCTCATAACTAATTTACAAAGAAATGGGTAACAGCTAGAGGGGAGAATAAACAATCATTTCTTTTTTCTTAACCTGTCGGTAACCTGTTGGTTAGCTGTCAGTAGACTGTCAGTAACCTGTTGGTAACCTTTTGGTTGGCTGTCAGTAGACTGTCAGTAACCTGTTGGTCAACTGTCGGCCGACAGTTGACGACAGTCGGCTGACAGGTTTTTTGGGGAGCTCTTCTTCACAATTACCCATATCTTAGGGGTTAAAGGATAAACTGGCAATCATTTCCTTAACTCTCATGAACTTAGTGTTTGATTCAGCAAGGATACGGTAAGGCTAAATAAGATAGGTACCAAGCAAATCTACAGGCTGAACCGTTTATAGCTGCAGGAGTACAAAAGGAAATAATTAACCCTTCAACTCCCATGATCTCATTAGTAATTCTCCTTACTGTCTGTCATATAGTTCTTGTGATGTTAGTTTGGAGAATTTGGTATTGGATTAATTAATAATCCCCTAATTCATATTTTCCTTTAATCTCATCACTTGTCTGCTTGATATTGTATTGATGTTGTAAGGAGAAATTCTGTCTTGGTCACTTATGGGAGTTAAAGGGTTAACAGTAGAGCATGCTGCACTCATTCAATTATTAAATAATGAATAAATTAAAAGTGCATCTGTGTAACAGAGTATCACCAGTAAATTTGTATAAACAAAACACACAAGGTGTGAATCATGGCACATCAAGATTGAAAAAAGTGCTTGTGACGGTCCTAGTATGTCGGGCAGTGTAGGTTTTTATAGATTCATAGTAAAAAATATCCCCTAATTTGCCTCATGTTTACTAATTATAAATCAATTAAAAGTCAATCCCATCGCTTAATCACATTTAACTAGCATTAACTACCCTATGAGATACCTAAAGATAAATTTTCTAAACTATTTTTTGCATTATAGATTCATGGTAAAAAATGTCTCCTAACTTGCTTAATGTTTACAACATCAATTAAAAGTCAATCCCATCCCTTAATCACATTTAATTGGCATTAACTACCCTATGAGATACCTAAAGATAAATTTTCTAAACTATTTTTTGCATGTATTGTTGGTAGCTCTGGTAGTTTATAAGTCTAAGACTTTATTTCTCGAGTTATTAGTTCATGACCTTCTTGTAAGTGATGTGCAGATGTTTTTGGTGTTTTGTGTTGCTTGTTTCCATGAAACACTCCATTTCCAGCGTATCTGGATCCTTTAGTCTGAAGATCCTCTCCACCTGAAAACATTAAAATAATTAAATATAGTTAATTTTATTGGACATGACAATGACAATCATTCGGAACCCAGCTGTTCAAAGGCAAATTAGCACTAACCCAAGGTTAAATTTTATTCTGGGTTTCTTTAATTTATTCCTTTGTTCAAAAGCTCTTGTTAGATGATTTTTTTATTCCTTTTAGTGCATCCAAACATCAAATTGTAGACAATAAAAGAAAAAAGAGTTTACTGAATTATTTTTTAAAGCTTTCAGATCTGAAATTGGATTTCACACTGACCCTGAGTTATCTTAACCCCACTAAAAACAGCCAGGCCCTGAATTCTAAAATCTTTCAGACCATAAAACAAATCATTGGGCAATTACTGTAACTATAATGGTGCATGTTTGAAGTAGATGGAGGTGTTGGTTATATTTTTATGTTCATTTTTTAACAGGTCCATACTTCCATACTTTCTTGTTTCCTCATTGAAAGTGGTTTTAACCAAATGCTAGTTATTGTTAATCAACCAGTTGATCACTTGTCATGATTGCAATAGTTCAGCCTCTTGGAAAAAACCATAATTTTACCTGTAAATGTCTGTACTGACTCAAAAATAAATTCACTGACCCTTTTTTCAAACAGCAGATCAAAATTCATTCTGTTTGCAAATTTCTAAACCAAACTGTTTTGTGAGGATTAATTTAAGCTTGATGAAATGCACTTTTTAAAGCAACAAACGTGAAATTATGGTATTGTTTTAACTCACTACATGTGTTATTGAAAAATAACAAAACAGTTTTTACCTTCCTGAGAAAAAAAAATTAGCCCTTAAGTTATCACCAACAATAAGTTTTAGACCTTTTAACTTGATTTACCTTTTGGACTTTTGGGTCAGCACCAAAACTCGCTCTTCCAACTGAGTGAGAGACAAGATGAATCTCATGTCCCTTAACTTCACCCTCCTCAACTTCAGCAAGACCTGTGAATGAAAAATTAGTTGCAGCATAGACAAATGAATAAAGGGGATAAGATTCTAAAGAAACTGTGGTGCTACATATTATCAACTGAATTGATAATGTAAATTGGCCACCATTACAAGTTTCCAAACTAACATTTTGATCGTTAGCCCTTTGTCAGAGCAAATGGCATAGGGCTAATGGCCAATTTATGTTACCAACTCAGTTGATAATACTAAATTGCCCTGCAGCATACACAGTCTTACTCACAGTATCTTTAACCACATCTTGTCTTTGTGGTTTAAACCAGTTACGCCTTACATTACATATCCTTATATACTCAGCAGCCCACTACATTTCCAGTGGTACTGACATGGATCACTTTTTAACAATCAAGAGGTTTCTTATGTTGGTAATCATTTTCTTCATTCTCATGACCTCAATGCTTGATTTAGGGGAGATTCTGAAAGGAGACAGTGGATGAGTGTTGACGAAAATCTACTTTGATGTTAGTTATGAGAATTGGGTTTTGTATCAATGATAAGGCAGTTAGAACAGTGGATGGCAATGGGTTAGGTTAACTTTCATCTCCTACCTAATTTTCCCCCTTCACCCTCGCAGGTTTGTTCATTGTGGTTGTAATCAGTTTTACAAATCAAACATGGCCCTACTACTTAATGTGATTGTTGAGCACTATACAAGCTTAATATGACATGTCTACCTGTATTCTGTGCTATAATGAAGGCAAGTGATGATGTTTCTGGTTTGACTTTAAGAAATCCAACTTCATGGTGCATTGGAGCTCCTTTTTCCAGATGCCATGTTCTGGAGCTTAACGAGTGTATGGAAAAAGACACAGAGTGAATCTTGATCTACTATTAAATTTGCTTAATTTTTTTTCAAAATAATGAAATACTCCAAATGATTTGTAAATACAATGTAATTGTTCATCAGGAGTCTGAGGCATTCTTCTCCAGCACTTATTTTTATTATTTTGGACATTGTATTGAAAGATCATAGCATGATTTGTATGATCAATTGCCACAAGAACAAGTGATTCACTAGATCTAGAGGTTGTTAAATGGGTCTGCAGGAAAAGTCCCTATCTCTATAAAGTATGACCTGCAAACATTCCTATGCTTCTGTCAAAGGTAAACGATAGTGTCCATTAATGCATGACATTGGTTAACAAGCCACAAATGAAACATGACATTAGAGCCAAGAAAAATTGGAAAAAAAAAATAATAGTGCTAGACAATTAATTTCAGTTTAATTCTGTCAGTAACACGAGTTATTTATAAAAAAAGGTAAAACTGGAATTTAAAACTGGAAATAAAGGCAATTAACATGAGATGGTGCTTTATTCCACCTTGTCTTACTTGCTCTTCTTCATTGAGAATGTGGGCAGCCAGTGCACACTCTCAACAGTGGTGGAGAGAGAATAGGGAAGGATAGGTGGATGAAACCTGTCATGAGAGGCTGCAGGTGAATAGAGAGGGAATGAGACCAGATGAATTGCACAAATGGTGTCACTACAGCCACAACACTTATCCACCATATGCAATTGAAAATAATGGTGAATGCAAATTAGATTCTCTATACATCCGCTCTTGTTAGACTCCAGAGAACTTAAGCCTCCTTTCACAATGGGTGATGCATTTGAAAAGCAGAAACTCATTTTTCCAAAATTAAAGCATGCGCATCAAATGAAATGTACAGTACACTCTGTGCATATGCTAGATCTGTTGTTCTAAAGCAGTTTCGCTGTAAAATGCCTATTTTATAAATTGTTGGCCATTACCTGTAAGAGAGCATCGGCTGTCCCACATGATCAAAGATGATCTCTTCACCATACATGAAAGGAGAAATTGTTGGATAAACACCACAGCCTTCACCTTCCCACTTTCCAATAAGCCAGGAAACCTTGCTCAATGCACCGTGCAGGGCTGGCTACAAAAATTTCGCCACATTAGTCAAACTAATGAATGTCGCCCATTACAGGTACTGGCCTCTAAACCAAACATGCATATTTCGTCTGATCAACGTTTTGTTTTCATCTCTTTACCGAGTTTATTGATAACAATTGCAAGACTGAACAATGATAAAAAAAAAATAAGTATGGGTTATCCACGTTATGAAAATAAATAATTGATCGCTTAGAAACGGTTAAGAAATTTCTTTTATGGAAAGACATAAAAACAATCTCCGCTACCTGTCTTTCAGCCAAAAAATTGAGTTTCCACGATTTCCTAATTTGCAGCAACTCAGTTTGACACGAAAATACGAAGCAAACGACATCTGCAAATGTGAAACTCACCTTTTCTATATTATCTGAACTCATCGTTCTTCCGGACAATAATTTGAAGACAGGGAAAGTACGACCAACACAAGTGCGTAGGAAGCTTTTGCAAACCTTATGTAGCATCCCTCATCACCTTTCGTCAGCGCGCGAATGCCTTTATTTCCCCACTGGTGCGAGTAAGCTGTTTTAGAAATTCTTCTTAGTTGTTGCCTCTATCTCTTCTTGGATTCAATCGAAATATGATAAATACATATGTTTCTCTTTTTAGTCCAGACACAAAGACAAAGCCAATCACATCGTCAAACACCGTCCATTTCAGCTCTTCAAAAAAAAAAAAACAACAGCAATAACTCTAAGAAGAGCAAAAACTGACTGACCCTACCCCTCTGAGAAATGATTTCTCTTTGAAAACCGCATAGACACTTGGGAATGATGCGCCGTTGGAGGTAAATTCAAACGAATGTTTGTGTTCGAATTTGTGCACATTTCACGCACGATTATTTATTTTGCGTATGAACTGCTCTTCTAATCGCCGAAACCGGTACTTCGTCTCAAATGTGAACGAATTATGCCTGTGGTAACGAGATCATGTAGAAAACAAAAGGGAAGACCGAGGATCGAAGACGCAACGCCAGCGACCTCTTGTATCGATCGTCGAAGGTATCCGACACGTTCTTCTGTGAAACGAAAGATACCTGTAACTCAACAAGACAAGGAGAAAAATGATTTAGAACCACCCTCTAAGGTAAGAGATAGTGAATTTTATGTTATTCTCCATATCTGAATGAAAAGATCATCTGTAAGATGTGTAGTCTAGACCTGTTCAATAGTTTTAACGGCCTACAGTTGAGAACTTAAAATACTTTTTTATAGCAAAAGGAAATTGATTAAATCAATTATTGTCCAAAAAAAATTCTTAAAAAACATGTCATGTACTTACTAGGAATGCATTTTTTGAGATGCATTTTGTCGGCAGTATAATTTAACATAACCACTGCGATCTTTGACAACCTCCGACTGATGTATGTCGACGAAAGTAAATTTTCAGCGCATAATTATATTATATCAATTACTGAAAAAAATTTTCAAGGAAAAAATTTACAATGATAATAAGATCAGAAGTTGTCTTTGGAATATGAATTCACCATAGCTACTATACGAAGCTAATTTAAAATTTAAAACTTCGTTTGAATTTTAATTGTAACAGAAGGCCCCAAGCAACAGATCTTCCAGAAATGTTTCTAAAACTTCCAAGAAGTTACCATTTCAAGATATCAGTAACACTTTAGACCAAGATCAAGGTGGTGGTAGTAAGTCACATGCACGCAAAGTTTCAAGATGTGTGAGTCACAATAATAACAAAAAAACAGCCAAGTCACAACCTAACAGAGAAGTTGTCAACAGTGAAAACCATGCAGGAAAAGGAAGTCCCTCTTTAGAGAAAAACGATGGTGTTCCTGATGACAATATTGTGGACCCCAAAACACCTGCTGGTTGCATCGCTGCAAGAATCAAGAGTTACAGTGCCTTTCGTCGCAGTCAGAAGAAGAACCAAGTCAGAAGTGATGTGGATAAAGAGAATGCAAGTTGCTCTCCAGTTGACTCAGCAGCAGTTACATCTCTCCCAGAAGAAGTCAGTCCTAGTTCTATAACAAAGGGTGAGGAAAAGGAATCAGAATTGAATTCTGATCCTGAGAGTGATGAAGATATTCTCTGGAGAATAAGCAGGAGTTGTAATGTTCAGAAAGAGGATTCCACGCCAGATAGTAAGGTCAGCAAAAAATATTTAACGATAATCAAATAATGATGATAATAAGGATACTTAAATGATGTAACAGTGGACAATCCAGGAGGTGGCTCTTCCTGTCCACTGTTTTCCAGTTGAATTGGAATTTGGAATGTTGCTTTTTGTGGAGGGGGAAAAACTGGAGGACTCAGAGAAAAACCCTTGGAGCAGGGATGAGAACCAACAACAAACTCAGCCCATATGTGATGCCAGGTCTGGGAATTGAACAAGCATCAGGGCTTCTCAACAAATCATGCACTTGGTAGAGGTTAAGATGAATTATACAAAATACATGTTATACTTCTATCAGGTTTTTTTGGAATGTGAAATTGTTTCTAAGGCTAAATATTGTTGTGGGATGGGGAAAAGGCAGAGGGTTGATTTTTATTCTTGTTTCCTCTTTATTGCACCGCAAAAATATTTTCTGTTTATTTCAGGTTATACATACTTTGGTATGTTTTTTTTCTGAATCGAGCTTCAAAACACCAGCTATCAGTAGCTTCATTCCTTGTTTCTTTATTTATAAATTTTTAGTCTGCTGATCAGAGCTCTTACAAGGAAAAGTACTTCACTCTGTTATCCGCAATGAAGCAAATACAGAACACATTTCTAAGGGCTCAACAAAATGCAGAGAAGAATGTAAAAGGTATCTCCTAGATAATCAGCTCATTATTTTATATTTGTGTTTGGCACTTATTTCTGTCTGTGTTAAATTTTATTTTGGAATAAATACACCATACTGTTTTGAAAACCATTTTGGATGGATGCCCACCTTGAATACAAAGTTTGTCTCATCAAGAGTAAGCCTTGATGTGTAAATTGTGTGATTATTTATTTTTGTTTGAGAAAACTTAAGTCTTGTAAAAGAAAAATATTTAGTGTGGTCAGGCTTTGGAGACAAGGAGGAATGGTGTCATCCCAACTATCGGTACTTTAATATCTAGTAGAAACACTTATAACAAGTTCCTTGCACTGGATGGTTTATACAACTGGATTAAACTACAGCTTAGGGTTGAAAATGTCCATACGACTTGTCTCTTCTGGTCATATAATTATATTTTCAATCCATGAAAGAAGTCTCTTATGTAAGAATTTATATTCTCTCCTTTATTTCAATCCTTATCATACTACTAGCTGAAGTCCCCCAAAAAAGTTTAAATTGTTTTAATTTCCGTATCTTTTTCTTAACCAGCATATGACAATTTTGTGAGCAATCTGAAATCAACCCTCAGCACAGAACAACAGAAAAACTCTCTCCTGAGCGAAGAGCTAAGGATGAAGAAGGGATCTGTTGAGAGATTACGCAGTGAGCTTGAAAATACAAAAGAGCAGTTGAAATTTATGAGAGAAGATAAAGGTAACTAAACAGAAAAAAAGTGATGTTGTTTAGACTGTTTTTAGTGTATTCTCAAGCGCTTCTAGTTCTGCTACAACCTTGCATTGGCTTCTCACTTTTATTAAGAGCTTTGTGTTGTTTTAAAGTTAGTAGCAATTGCAGCTATTTCTTGACAAGGGTGGTGGCCGTACACAACAGAGGACATCCCTTAAGTTAACCATGCCCTTCAGATTTCTTAATTAAAGATTTCTGCCATGATTTGGTTTTTAAATTTTAAATTTTTGTTTTTATGAAACGGACAAACAAACAAACATAAAACAAAAAAGGCAAGTTGGCTTACTAATGAAGGAAAAAGTTTTTCAATCAACTTTTATTTAAACATTCTCCTTGAGTTATTGCCTTAGGCAAACAAACTTGCATGTGCAGCTGATGCAAGCTGTTTTACTTAGTTGGCACATTTTACATTAATAAGTGTGAATTAATTTCTTTACTTTTCATGAAAAGCACTCTTAATAATGTACATGTAACATCAAAAAATTCATTTAGTTTTAACTGGCTTTGATTAGGTAATACACTAAAATTTTGCAACAAAAACTCACATTACAATGTGTGCCCATCAATTGCATTTTTCAAATCTAATATTAGTCAATATGGCTTTATTTTCTGTACCAGTTGAAAATTAATGCTTTTAAACTAAATGAGACTACTTAACTCAACTAGATAAAATGCTTTTAGGATCTTGAAACTCAACTGATGGACGATATAGAACTTTACTTTGGTTGTTAATTACTTTACTTAGTATACAGCTGTATACAAGAGTACATAATCACTACATTCAGTAACAAAACAAAAGGTCTTTGCAAGCTTTCCTCGCTTGCCCCTCTGTTAACTAACTTGGTTTGGGTAGGAAGGGGGGAAAGTTACCCTGGAGCAGAATCTGTGTTATTAGTTAACATAACAAGTTAGGAATCGCGCATATCTATACAATATTATACTAGTACTAAATTGCATGTTCCAGTCAGGCAGGTTTGGTTTGATATAATATCTTGACTAGTGCATAGGCCGGAATTAAAGATCTCCATTGTGGATTGTTAATAGCTATAGATCGAATTTTAGTTATCTTCCACTATTTCGTTAAAGGCTTGCTCAGCTTGCTCAAACAGGTCTTGAAGCATGTTTTGTAAACGGACCGCCTCGTTGAGATCCCTCCGCAACTTTTTCAAAGTTTGTTGTGACAAAACATATGTTCCTGCGTTGGCCGCAGCAAGGCCAGTAAACACAGCAATGCTTGTTAGTGCCAAGCCTCTAGTAAAGGAAGTAAGGTTGTTCCAGGTGTGGAAAAGTTGGAAACCTTGCGTCCCGGCTGTTACTAGATTGACAACTCCATCCACTGCGGCGTAATCAGCCATGAGGTCAACACGCTGTATCTGGCCATCAATCTTAATTCGTAGGTCGCTGATTTTGGAAAGAGTTGAGTTGAAATGTGTGTTGATTCTTCCCATTTTCAGGGGAATACCGCGATTTCTCGGATCTCTTTCGCAAGTATCCACGAGGTCTGTGACCAGCTGTTCCATTCTTTGGAGCTTGCTGTTTATCGTGCTGAACTCATTAGGGTTGCTGTCGATGAGATTTGACGCGTTGGAGATGGTCTTCCACGCCATGTAGAGCTTCACGCATTGAAATACTGCGACGAAGGCTGATCCATAAACCATATCTGTGATAACCTTGTTGCTCTCTTTCTTCTGGAAATCTTTTATTGCGTTTAGAATCGCCTCTTTCGTTTTTTGATGGTCAGTGATTTTGTCTTCTGCAATGCGCTCATGCAGTTCTAGGAGAGAGATACCGAGTTCATTCCAGCAATACTCTAACATTGCCTCTGTGGCGTTTTTCTTTTGATAGTCGACAGCTCTAAGTATGGCATCTTTACCATCTTCTGTTATTCTTCCGAGCATAGCTTCAATGGTTTCAATGTGCTCTCCCAAAGTGCACATCTCTCCGACATTCGAAAGGGCTTGGCGAAAGGACCATCCGCTCTGACAGAGATCAAGAACGTATCCGAGGATTTTACCCATGTTTCCTTTGCGTTCTTCCTCAGGAAGTTCATCCCGCATCCTCTGTATTGCAGCAGCATCGTCCATGTTCAGCGACTACGAGTAATGTTGGAAATGAACAAATTTGGAAAATCGCCTTCTTTAATTTATACGTTTCACATGGGGATTCCCCAAGAAAGCGTGACGCAACACTCAATAGTTAGTCACGAGAAGTAATCAACGGCAGCCAACGATACCTGTTCCTCTTTGCAAATTCTACTAGTTCTTTTAAAGTGTGGAAGTGTTATTTAAACAATATTTTCACTGATCACCTCATACTGTCACATATATGACCATACTTAAGGGATCTTTGGCGTTTATTTTTATATGGGAATTTTCCCGGCTCTAAGTCGGTGGCTATTTCGGTTTCGGATTTCGGCTCTCAAAGATTTTATCAAGCAAAACAAAAACTAATCATCAAAATAGCACTATTTATACAGATAATTCTATATTAAAATCCTAAATGAGTCACACCATGAGGTAGAAGTCGGAAATCAGGGAAGAGAAAAATCACTAACCCAAGAACGAAGATCAAAAGTAGTGTTACTTGCTTTCTCCATCTGCTCTTAGGGAAATTTCCCAGTGTAACACGTCACAGAGACAGGGTCTTTTGCATTGACCCACATAGACTGAAATTATTTTCGTTTATAATGGTAATTTTCCCAGAAAAAAACATTGCAAAAACATGCTTTCAGTTGAGTTTTTCTGCACACGTAGGCAGAAAAATTTGCTGCACAAAACTTCGCTCACATGTAAACTTTTTGTTGTCGGGCAATGAAAAACCACTCAAGGAAATATTCCTTGTTGAATTCACAAAAAAGAGAGAAAAATTCCGTATTGCTTAAGATAAAATATTTAGCCACTTCTCCAACTTTCAAGTCTGAGTTGTTATTCCAAATTTTAGATACTAGTTCGTCGAAAAAATGTTGCACACAAAAATTTTAGGGCCCAATCCGCCGTAAAGGTGAATCGCTTCGTCCATCAATAGAGCGTTTAAGGGAGAGTTGTGATATTTACGAAATTTTTGAGTTACAACATTTATCCCGACTCAAAGGTAGTGGCTAAGTCATTGTAATACTGGCTATCTTATGGTTGGAAATAATGTGATACATACTGAAAAAACGTTGTGACTTCGTGAAATTAAATGCTCGTATGAATGGACCAACAGAATCACGAATTAAACTTTTATCTAGATACCGCGCTTGGAGGAAAGTGTAATCATAAAGAACTTGCGTAACTATCTTGTAAGTCTGTATTGAAGAAACAAATGTTTTCATAACAAAAAAGTTTTAAACATGTTAACTTCACCAAAACCTCACAGGACAAATATATGGCTAGATGACCAAAGTGGCTCTAACGTTACGTCACGCAAAGTGCCACGCACCCAATAACACATTCATTCAAAATGCATTCGTTTACGCGAAAATCGTTAACTGAATCAAATTATGAACTTCTTTCAAATACTTCTGCTGTTTTCCTTTATTTTTGGATCTAGAACGTGATGAGTTTAGGTGAAAAGATTCTTTGAGTTCGAAAAAAAAACAGATTATTTTTGAGAGGAGAACAATGTTACCGATAACATATAATTATTTTCTTCCATTAACAAACATATTTGAAATTTAGACATTTATCGCATTTTCAGATTCGATATGGTAACCAAAAATTTTGTTCGTCTGGGCTAAAAATTCGCCTAAAGACGCTGTTATTTTTACTGTTGCGGCTCAACAATGGTGCAAAAGCCTTCGCTCATACCATGGATGCACTTTAAACAGTCCAAGAGCTAGATGAAAGCAGAGAGGCCAATAACCTCGGTAGCAGCTGTTTATTAATAGCGTTTTTTGATTCTCTTCATCTGAATGGACTTCTGGGACCACATTCGCGTCTGACTAGGTTGCCAAGTTGTTTTGAAAATGGCGGCGTTCTTGGTCGAATTCCCAGCACAAGGGTCAAGTTTCCCTTTGGAGGCCTAAAAACTAATTCATTGTACGTATACTTTTAAGTACTGAGGTTAAAAATTTCTATGTACACTGTTGCATACTTCTTGTTTAGACCGGCATTCAAACGGCGACAGGTTCGTCTGATAGGCCTCTGTGAAAAACCGAATCTATTTGGGTGTGCTGCTTCCGAAATAAGTCACTGCCACTTCATTTTATCGCACAAAGTCACGCTAGTCTGAATTTGTGCGGTTTTTCGCGGCTATATTTTCTGTCGCTCGCATTAAGATTCTCACAAAACTCCGCCATGTCACACACACACTAGGGGCGTAGTCAGGATTTTTCAAAGACGGGGTCACATTGTGTGTCAAACAGAGGGTACTCACTAGATTGTCATGTCGACCTCCACGCCGTGTTTTACTTAATGCAACGAAAAAAAAGGCTTACCTAGGCTACGCCCTTGCACGCAAAGCAAAAGGAGGTTAGGTTTCCCAGCTTTCCCGCGTAAGTTGCGAAGCTCAATTTATTCCCTCGCACCACCTCCTCCCCCACCTTCCCCCCAACCCCTACCCACCTGTCATCAAATGTACATCAAAGCTGACAACTTTCAGAAGGTTTTTGTCAGCGTATATTAAATTTTCTTTTTCCAGTCTTAAACTTTGCGATTATCAAATAAAAAAAAAGTATGAAGAAATACATAAATTGACTCAGGCCAGTTGCTCAGCAATTGTGACAATGATAACTGCAGAGTTGGTTTTGAAATGTTTCTCCTTTTTTATGTTACTTGCAGCAAATATGAAGAGGCATGAGCAGGAGGAAGGTGAAAAGAAAAAGGATTCACCCAGAGAAACATCTGAAACAAATAACAAAGAGCTACTGGTGAGGGAGTAATTAGATTGATCAATCT